AAAAAAAAAAAATCTGTTGAAAGTATAATTCTAGTAGAGGAGACTAGATGGCTGTGGGTTGGCAAATAGAGAGGAAGTTGGTGTTTACTAATGATTAATTGATTGGTAAAGGAAAGTATAGTGAGAAATGACTGATAGAGACAACTGCAGTGTAGAGCAAAGTTGGTTAGAGTAAATTCACAGCACTGAGCCAAGCATGGGGTTCATCCCCATCACTGGGTAAATGTGAACTTGTCATAAAATTCATAAACCACCTCTTTACATTTGGAGTAGGAACTTTGTGGCATGTTAATTGAGCTGCATCAGACCAAACTGGAGCCTTTTGCTTTTTATTTGATCTTATACCATTGTTTCCATGTAGATTTCATTAATAACAGTTATGTTGTGGTTAAGATTAAATAGGGCCTTAAAGAAAAACATTTGAAACTGATAAAATGTTTTAATCATTAGCAGGACATTTCTTGCTCAGAGCTCAAAGTTCTTTGACTATAATAATTTGATTGTGTCAATATCCTTTAAAATAAAACATTTTAAGATTCAAGCTACTTTGAGATGAAGAAAAGCTGAAGGAATGTTAGGTACTTTTGGCTATATTTCTGCTTCCTACAGGAACAGGAGGGGCTCTGGTAGCGTAGTGGTTACGAATCGGACTGCGAACCCCAAGGTCAGCAGTGTGAAACTACCAGCTGTTCCGCGGGAGAAAGATGAAGCTTTCTACTCCCGTAAACATTTACAGCCTTGGAAGCCCTGTACAGGGTCGCTATGAGTCGGAACTAACTCCACGGCACACAACAACAACAACAAGAACAGGAGTCAACATTGTGAGTGAGAATGTGATGGTGGATAGCCATAGTTTAGATTGTTGAAGGAGACTTTATGATCTTTTATCTACCCTTTTGATAGAAATATTCATGTTGAATGGAATGCTTGGACCTGCTTGGTGCATATAAATGCACACATACATATGTTTAAAATACATTGCTTTGAAATTTATTTTTAACTTAACAATGTAATACGGATATCTTTCCATGTCATTAATTATTATTTTGCAGTTGCATTTTTCAGATGTCTTCTTTGGAATACTATTCTTAGGAAATATATAGCAGGAAGAGAAAGTGTTCTGTGGCTAGTTAAATGTGACTGTTTATGATCTCTCCCCTTATTAAGACATCTTAAAGAATATCAGCATAGGAAGACCTGTTTAACATTACTTAATAATGTTAAATTAATATTAAAACTACATATTTAACATTACTTATCTCCATGTTTTATAAACTTATTTGTTCATTGTTGTTGTCGTTAAGTAGGTTCCGGCTCATAATGAGTGGCTAATGGGTTTGAACCTCTGACCTTGTGGTACAAACCAACCTTGTGATTCAGTGCTTATTCTACAGTGCCACACCAGGACTCCTATTTGATCATAGAATCTTTTATTCATCTCATACTTATTAATATCTAAAGGGATTTGTATTCTTTACAACTAACAAAAAAATGCTCTCTTCACACCTATATCCATAGCTACGTACTATTTTACAAAGTGACTACTACAGTTTTAAGGAACTCTGGTAGTGTACAAGATTAGAAGCTGGGCTGCTAACCACAAGGTCAGCAGATAAATTCTACCAGCCACTCTGGGAGAAAGATGAGGCTTTCTGCTCTTGTAAAGATTTACAGCCTTGGAAACCCTATACCTCTACCTCGGAAACCGTAAACCTTCAGTTTCAAAGAGTCGGAACCAACTCAGTGGCACACAATCACCACCACCACCACTTTTAATTTAAAGCAATTAAACCAACACTGTGATGAATATCTTTGTATGTAATCGTTACACATATTCGTGCTTTTTTTCCCCCTAAAAAGTGGAATTGGCAGATGAAGAAGTCTTTTGTACAGGTCTACTATGACACATAATGGAGTGACTATGAGTCAGAATTGACTGAAAGCAACCAGTAATACCGATATACTTTGTTGAAGTATTGAATATAAAATATATTGAACATTTACATTTACTTCTTACAAATTTTTGTCACTTATTAAGTAGAAATTTAATTAGGAAAGGTTTTATTTTCTACTAGTGTAGATGACTTCGTCTACCACTCATCTGTCAGTTTGCCATACTATGGTGCCTTTTTTGTTGTTGTAATGCTGGAAGGTATACCACTGGTGTTTTAAATACCAGCAGGATCAGAAAGAAGAGGTAGACCACTTCTGAAAAATTAGCCACTGAAGACCTTGTGAATAGCAGAGGCAGACTGTCTGATTTAGTGCCAGAAGATGAGACTCATTAAGCTAGAAGACACTAGTAGACCTGACCTCAGTGTCGTGGATGGAATACACCTTTCCAGGTCTTTATTTGGTGATGTGGCACAACTCAAAATGAGAAGCAGCAGCCGCAAACAACCATTGTAATCAGAAGGTGATATGTACCAAGTATGAATCTAGAAAAATTGGAAGCTGTCAAACTAGAAATGGAACACATAAAGATACATACCCTAGGCATTGTTGCTATGTGTAGTCAAGTTAGTTCCAACTCATAGCAATCCTGTATAGGATTTCCAAGGAACTGGGATGGGTTTGAACTGCTGACCTTATGGCTCACAGTCCAGTGCTCTTCTTACAGTGCCACACAAGGAGCCCATCCTAGGCATTCATGAGCTGAGATGGATTGGTATTAACCATTTGGAGTCAGACAATGTGGTTCACTATGCCAGGAATTATAAATTGAAGATGAATGGTATAGTTAAAAAGAATGTTTTAACATCTATGCTGAAATAGAATGCTGTCAGTGATAGAATAATACCCATACTCTTATAAGGAAGACCAGTTAAACAACTTTCAACTTTAATGGCAACAACCAACAAATACAAAGATGAAGAAACTGAGGAATTTTAACAACTTCTGCAGCCTGAAACTGATTAAACATGTAATCAAGATGAATTGGTAGTTACTAGTGATTGGAATGTGAAAGTTGAAAACAAAAGAGGGAAAATCAGTAGCTATAAAATGTGGCCTTGGTCATAGAAATGGAGTTGAAGATTGCTTGACAGAAATTTGCAAGACCAATGACTTAATTCATTACAAATATCTTTCTTCGACAACATTAATAGTGACTATACTTGTGGATCTCACCAGGTGGAATACATAGGAATCAAATCCACTACATCTATTGAAAGAAATAATGGAGGATCTCAGTATCATCAGCTTGAACAAGGCTAGGGGCTGACAATGGGACTGCTGTTGTCAAGTTGGTTTTGACCCATAGCAACCCTATAGGGTTTCCAAGGAGCGGCTGGTGAGTTTAAACTGCTGACCTTACGGTTCAAACTAACCTTGTAGTTACGTGCTGATCCTACAGCACCATACCGTTTTCATATGCAAGTTTAAATTGAAGCTAAAGAAAATTAAGACAAATTCATGAAAACCAAAATAATACCATGAGTATATACCACCAGAATTTAGCACTCATTTCAAGAATAGGGTAGGATGGGAGATTTTTGGCAAGATGGCAGGCTAGGCAAACATGCTGCACAGACCCTCTACAGCAAAGATACAGGAGACAAAATGAGGCAGACACAGAGGAAAATTCTGGAACTCTGGACTTCAGAGTAGAGGTTGGAGAAGTGGATTGAATACTTGCTAGGAGGAGAGACTGAGCTGTGTGTGGCAAAGGAGGGAGATGGACTTATGGACTAATGGCCATCCAGACATGGTGTGGTCATCTTGAACTTCATGAGCAGTTTTAGAGAGGCAGAGAGATGGTAACCTAATGGTGGGTAATGCTAGTGGTAATCTCACTATTGTGTTGTACACTATTGTGTACAACAATAGTGATAACCTCACTATTGTTGCCACGCTTGAGCCCATTGATGCTGCCACTTTCCCAATCCATCTCGCTGGGGGTCTTCCTTTTTTTCTCTGACCCTCCACTGTATCAAACATGATATCTTTCTCCAGTGACTGGTCCCTCCTGACAACATGTCTGAAGTATGAGAATAGCAACAACAAAATCTTTAATTAAACAAACTAATAAAAACTTATTGGCTACATTTACTTTTTAAACAACCATTGTATATAGTTTTAAATATATGCATGTAACTGTATCTGCCTCTTGCAACAGAAATAAGTAGAACTGAGACGAACTGGATGCAACTAGGGACAAACATTCAAGTCTTATACTTTATTTTACTGTAAAAAATGCAGAAGCTATATGATTGTTCTTTAAAAAGTTCATGGAAAATGGGTAGTGTGAAAAAATGATGCATGAATTTCAAAAATTTTTTGCACCAAAATAAAATTGTACTAATTTGTTAGAATATGTCTGAAAGGACATAGTTTGAAGCACTAAGAAGGATAAGATATTAGTTTGGAAAAAGCCACTAATTGAGTAACACGAATTCTACTAAAATTGAAGCCAGAACAGCGTTACATTTATGGTGATGCTTTGATGCAAGATTGTTGTATCATTGGTGCTTTACAAAAAGTTTATGGGGCTAATACTTCCCCCTCACCCCCCAAATCAGCAGCTTACAAATGGATAACATTTTAAGAAAGGGCGAGGCAGTGTTGAAAGTGGAAGGACACAGTAACAGTCCATCCACATCAATTTGAGATGAAATGATTCATCTCGTTCCTGCCCTAATTGAATAGGACCCATGATTTATAGCAGACACAATAGCCAGTACCGTAGGCATTTCAAGTGGTTCAGCTTACACAATTTTGACTGAAAAATTAAAGTTAAGTTGAGTAACTTGTTTGATGGATAACAAAGTTTCTGCTTGATGGATAACAAAGCTGTTGCACCCAGATCAGCTGCAGCCTAAAGCAGAGCTTTCACTAGAAGTTTTAAACCAGTGGGATTAAGATCCTAAAGCATTTTCTGGAAAAATCATAGCAGAAGGTGAAATTGGCTTTACCAGTACTATTCGGAAGACAAAGAACAATCAAAGCAATAACTTCCAAGATGTGGATGTGGTTCAGTCAAAGCAAAAGTGGACTGGCAAAGAGCAAGGGCAATGGCAACACATTTTTTTTTGATGCTCAAGGAAATTTGCTTGTTGATTTTCTGGAAAACTAAAGAAAAATTGTTGTTAAGTGCTGTCAAGTCAATTACAACCCATAGCAACCCTACATAGGGTTTCCAAGGAGCAGCTGGTGAGCTTGAACTGCTGACCTTGTGGTTCAAACCAGGACACCAAAGAAAGATAACATCTGCTTATTATGAGAGTATTTTGAGAAAATTATCCAAAGCATGAGCAGAACACCCAAAGAGCTTCACCTGAGAGCCCTTCTCCAACATAACAAATGTTCCTGCTCATTCCTCTCATCAAACAAGGACAATTTTATGTTTCAATGAGGCATCGTTAGGCAGTACAACCTTGATGTGGTTCCCTCTAACCTCTTTATGTTTCCTAATCATAAAACAATATTTAAAGGACACCCATTTTTCTTCAGTTAATAATGTAAAAAAGATTGTGTTGGTAGGGTTAAATTCCCAGGACCCTCAGTTCTTTAGGAATGACTTACAAAAGTGCCTTAACTTTGATGTAGCTTTTGTTGAGAGATGAAATTTATGTTTATATTTTAATGTCATTTTTCCACAGCTTTTTTGAAGAATCCCTTATAATATGCTACATTTTTAATTTCTTTGTTTACTATGATCCAAGCAACATAACTTAAATGAACTTTCAAATCCATATTCTTTTGCATTCTCTTTTATTGATGATTTCCACTGTAATTGTTGCAGTTGGGTCAGATGAACTGGATAGCTACATGTTCCAGACAGTGGGTCATCATGCCATTGACTTGTATGCAGAAGCTATGGCTCTTCCCCTCTATCGCCGAACTATACAAGGAAGAAGTGTGGATACTGGACAAGTGTACACCAAATGTGAAGGAGATGAGGTGGAAGATCTTTATGAACTTTTGAAGCTTGTTAAGGTATGCAGAATGATGAATGACATTTTCTGAATTTAATGCGGGGAATATAAGTAACAAATACCTTCCAACTGTTAGTAATCTACTTATTCTTTGGAAAGATATTTTGTTTATTTCTAGGTAGAGAAAGCTGTTAATATATCTTTATATTGAATGGTATGTAAAAATAAGATATCATATAGTTTGACATTCAGTATTGTCTAATGATACTATACTAAACCTTTGTTGTTGTTGTTGTTGTTGTTGTTTTGATGATGATATTAGATTGATGTTCATTCAGTCATTTTTCCAACAAATTATTTCTGAGTGCCTAGTATGTGCTGGTGTGGCACTGTGGGTTAATGTGCTAGACTGCAAAATCAGTTTGAACTACAAGGTTGTTGGTTCAAGCTTACCAGTCGCTCCTTGGAAACCCTCTACAGGGTTGCTATGGGTTGGAATTGACTCAACGGCACTTAAAAACAACAACAACAACAACAAAAAAAAAAACAACAACCAGTATGTGCTTAGTATTATTGTTTTATTTCATTTTTACATGAATTTTTGAAGCACACTTGTAGTTCTAGGCACTAGAGATTTGACAATTAATAGTTCAGTTGCAACTTACTTTCTAGTGGGAAGAGATAGATGTTAAAAAGACAAATAACATCCTTGGTTGTAAAGAATATTGTTGTTAAGTGCTGTCAAGTCGTTTCCGACTCATAGTGACCCTGTATGGGGTTTCCGAGGAGCATCTGGTTGGTTTCAACTGCCAACCTTGTGGTTCGCAGTCCAGTGCTGATCTTGCAGTGCCATGCCAGGAGTCCAGACTGAAGGTGATGGTAAATCATGGCAGGGAATGTTCTAGATGGTAGTCAGACAAAACCTTTCTGACAAGGAGCAGACGTAACAAAGTGAGAGACTGACCCTTGCTTAAATCAGGTAGAAGAAGTATGAATTAAATACTTAAGTCACTTATATAATAGAGATTGGTGGCCATTGTAGAGTCATTGCAAATTTCTCTGGACAGACAATTTAGGAGAGCATGTGGGACTCCTATTTCTAATAGATACTATCTATACTCAGTAAGTGTTAATTCATGGAAATGATTTTATATATTAAGTTCAGTATCTTTTCAGTCTCATAGAAACCAACTATTTGAATACAGTTGAGCATTCTTCTTTCCAAATGTGAATTCTTATCTAGTTGGCCACTGTACCAATTCATGTAAGAAATATTGGATAAAATAGAGAATGTAAGCCAATACTTCCCAGAAGTCTTTGCATTTTTCATACAAGAAAGGAAGGAAGATTGCTGCCTCTACCTCTACCAAGTGGCGGCATTTCATTTTCTTACTCTGAGCAAAGTTAAGCCTTTTCAGCAGTTATGTCATGAACCGGAATCATGAAAATTTGCAGTCCCAAAAATAGCTACTTTGGTGCTACATTTTAAATGTGGTGCTGATCAAACTTTATTATGAGTTAAGGATTTCTATTTAAATAATATATTAAGCTTTCAAACTATTCTAAAGTTTGTTTGATTAATATATTTATTTTATATGTTAGAACAGTTTTGTTTTTTCTTGGCATTAAATTTTAAAAAAGGATGGAGAAAACACCTTCCGAAGTTCTGTAATTTGCTAGTTAGTCATAGCAAGCATATGAAATAGATATTTGCAAAGGAGGTTGTAGGGATCTGATTTCTTCTTTTGGGGAAGACACATGCTAACAACAGTTATTTGGATTATCAAACAAAGGGAAAGGCATAAAAAAGAACAGCACATTATAGTCTTTTCTTAAAGGTGCAGGTAAGATCTTTATAGTGTTCATTTTGATACATCAAATTAAGACTTTTTACATAAACCACTATTACCAGGAGGTAGGATTTGCACAAGAATTCCACTAGAAGTAATTGAGTTGCTTAAAAATCTCAAACTTGATAACTTTGGAGAAGTTTTGTGATAATAACAGCCTTCTAAGAAAAGGAAAGATAATAAATTACTAATCAATTTAATTAAAAATGGACAGATTAGTAGTAATTAAGATGAAATTTCCCTTTCAACCCATGCTGTCTTTGGAGAAATGGATGCTTTGCCATTATCTTTATAGTAACCGTCAGTTATGACATAAATTAATGCTAATGTTAAATCTTGACAACTTCTGCTTTGGAAGTTCATACATGATAATTATAACTGTAGCTGAAAGAGATGTTATCAAGTTGTCTGGGACTAAATAGGTCCTTCTTTTCCTGTGCAGAAATATTAATTTTACTATAGGATATTTTAAAGACATAAATATCAGAAATATACTGCTTTTATGGAAGAGATTGTATAACCAGGCTTTTATAGTTAAATCCATTTATGAAATGCTGGTGTGATGATTCCAATAGAGGACTTACATATTCTAATGAATAATTGAGTAATTATGGGAAAAAACGAATCTAGAAGAGCTATAATTCTTCAAGTTAGTCTTCATTCATTCTAAGAGAAAGATAGGACTGTGGTGTTTTGTTTTGTTTTTTGTAATCCTTTGAATATTAATGGAGCATTGAAAGCATTTAGATTCAGTTTCTTTTAAACATTTATTTATAACAGGTTGCAGTTTTGTGACTTTCATGTGTAAGTCAGTCTTTTGTTTTTGTAGTTCTTTTTTCCTTTGAACATTAGAGTTACTATTTGTATTAAGAATGTTCTCTTTGCAAAGAGTTTAATTTACTAGTTAATGAAAAAAGTAGAAAAACTTAGAAAACTTACAGAGTTACAAATTTAGTACATTGTAGAAGTCATGAAAACTGATAGAAATATAAAAAGTCTGTATAGCACATAGATTACTGATAACTGTGTGGAATTTGAAAGACACAGCTCAAGCTTTTTGTAAAACATCTACTTTTCATATTGTTGTTATGTTCCGTAAAGTTGGTTCCGACCCATAGCAACCCTGTATAGAGCTTCTGAGGAGTGGCTGGTGAGCTTGAACCGCCGATCTTGCGGTTCAAACCCACTTTGTAGTCCAATGCACACAGCACCACACTAGGACTCCACTTTTTATATGTTGTTGTTGTTATGTACCATGGAGTTGGTTCCAACTCATAGTGACCCTTCACGGGGTTTCCGAGGCTGCAAATCTTTATGGGAGCAGAAAGCCTCATTTTTCTCCAGTGGAACAGCTGGTAGTTTCGAACTGCCGACCTTGAAGTTAGCAGTCCGATTCGTAACCTCTATGCTACCAGAGCTCCTTCTACTTTTTATATAGATAGTATTAATTTTTATTGTTATTGTTAGGTGTCAGCTAGTCAGTTCCTGCTCATAGTGACTTTATGTACAACAGAATGAAATACTGCCCAGTCTTGCGCCATTCTCACACTTGTTACTATGTTTGAACCCATTATTGCTGCCATTGTGACAAACCATCTCATTGGGGGATCTTCCTCTTTTTAATTTATCCTTCACTTTACCAAACATGATATCCTCTACCAGGTACTGGTGCTTTCTGACAACATGTCCAAAGTACACGAGGCAATGTCTCACCATCCTGGCTTCTAAGGTGCTATTGGGCTGTACTTCTATCAAAGCAGATTTGTTTGTTCTTCAGGAAGTCAATGGTACTTTCACTATTCTTTGCCAACATTCATAATTCCTTATTCATTGTCCAGCTTTGCAATGCATATGAGGTAATTGAAAATACCTGGCATGAGTCAAGGGCATCTTAATCCTCAACGTGACATCTTTACTATTTAACTCTTCAAAGAGGTCTTTTGTAGCAGATTTTCATAATGCATTACAGTGTTTGATTTCTTGACTGCTGTTCAGTGAGTGTCTCTGGAATTCAGATCATTTGCAAGTTATTCCTTTTCATGATATCCCACATAAATCTCAGGTTTCCTCCTATCTTTTTTTTTTAAAGATTGTTCTTCCAGTTTATTAGTATTCAGAGTTTTATCTTCAAGATCACAAATTTGAGTTCTTATTGATTCAAATCTATACCTTTGCTCATTCAATGTATTGTCCATTTCTGAAATCTTAGTATTAGTCTTCTGGATTTCTATTTCTAGGTTTTGAATTGTTTCAGAATTTGCAGTTATCTTGTCTGCTTGTTCTTGTAGTGTTTTCCTAAATTCCTTTAATATTTTTATTGTGTTCTTCTTGCTTTCCTCAGTCTTTCTGTCAATGCATTGAAGGTTCCTAAATATTATTCTTTTGAATTCTTTCTCAGGTAGTTCCATTACCTTTTCTTCCTCAGAAATGCTTTCTAGCTCTGCATGTTGATCATTTGTTTGAGCCACTCTATCTTGTTTCTTTGTGTAAACTAAACTCTTCAGTTTTCTTTGCAACATTTTGGTGTCGTTGTATTTAATTGATGGTGCATGTTGGTGTGTTCTTAGGTTCTCACCAACTGCCTTCTGGTGGGTGTGCATATAGACTAGAAACATGTGCACTGTTTTCTGTTCACCATTCATGCAGCTCAGCTTAGGGTGTGTTTAGCTGATGTTGTCTGATCTCTACTGTTGATCAGGTGGCACAGGAGTTGGTATTGGCTCTTGTCCAGTGGGTGGAGCTGCAGAGGCCACATGCCGTCTCCAGTCAGGTGGGCAAGAGGAGAAAACACATACAAGGAAATAAAAGAGAAAAAACAATCAAAAGCAAAAACAGTATAATAAAGGAGAGAAAAAGAAACAGCATAGCCATCTTGAACTTTTGCCAGCAGCTCTGGAAAGAGAGAGTGACGGATGGTGGCCTGATGGTGCAGATTCACATGGATGATAGAAAAGGTGAGATTCCTTCTTGCTCCTTTCAATAACAGAGGTGAGGCTGGTCCCCACCCTTATCTACCCCCAGCAGACCTGATCTTGGGAGTTTGGAGCCACACAGTTTAAGCCAGTGTGAGGTGGGTACCCACTGAGCCACCTTGACGCCTGGATTCAGGTGGGCTCTGCTCCAGATCTACAGAATCCGGAGTCTCCAGGCCAGAATTAGACTAGCAGAAACCTTCATAATTAGCCACTCTGCCCCTAGTTACCCTCTAGCT